TTTCTTTCTTTCTTTCTTTCTTTCTTCTTTCTTTTTTGTATTTGTACAGGGTCTCACTACACAGATCGGACTTGTAGCGATCCTCCTGTTTTCAGTCTCCCCAGCACTGGGATGACAGGCATGTGCCACCATGCCCAGCCTCGGTTGCCAGTTCAGCATGACCTGGGGGCAGGGCCAGCATGACATGCGGGACTGTGGATTGAACCCTGGCTCCTGAAATTGCCAAAGCAGGCACTTAGTCCACTGAGTTATCTCGCCAGCCCTTTTTATGTAATTCTTATGTTGGGCCCTGAAAATTTTGCAGCCAGTTCTGTGTATATCCTTATTTTGTTTATACAATTTTATGTTCATTTTAGAATCTTTAGGATACACTAATAATGTACAAGAAGAAAATAAAAAAAATCAACTCATTCTATCACCCCCAAGTGAAAAATTTTAACAGCATTTTAACTTTTTAAATAGTTTATCAAGAATATTACTTACATGAATGCTTAGAGATTGGCTCAATTTACAAAATCCATCATAGTGTAAATTCCATGTTTTCCTCTGTTTTTTTTAATTTAAAATTTTTTAAAGAATACAAATAATAAAAAAGCATTAAAAAGTTATAAAATTTCATTAAACAAAGTAATAGGAATTTAACAATGGTTGCTGCATTGCATGATTTTATATTCAAATTAGTTGTTTCGGTTACCAGATATAAACATGAAAAATTGGTTAAAAAAATGAAACAAAGGCGGGCCAAATACCTCAGTGGATTAAAGCACTGCAAGCAGGTGCTTGGGCCGGAGCCATGCCAGCCCTGCTCCCCGGGACACACGGAGATGACAGTTGACACTGGGCATGGTGGCCTGTAATCCCAGCTCTTGGGAGGTTGTAAAGAGGCAGATCACTATGAGTCTAGTTCCTAAAAAATAGAAAAAAAACCCCAACAAAACATAAAAAAAATGAAACAAAACAAAGTTATAAGAAATTAAAAAGAAAAAAATGAATTAAAAGAAAAAAATTTTAAGCATTAAATGTTCCTTTCAACAGACCAGCAGAAATTGGCAGTACAATTAACCAAACTATCCTGCATATACACATAAATATATCTTTTTCTCTTCTTGCTTTTGTCCTATTCCTCATCCCAGTGTCTCCTTCCCATTGAACAGATTCCCTCCCTTTCCCAGTATCTATTGTGCCTTTCAGATCTCACTTACTCTCTCAGGTTCTCACACCAGTGAGACAATATGATGTTTGCATATGCAGGTCAGATTTATTATTGTTTTCCTCCTGACAGCAAATTATTCATAGTGGTTCCACAATAATGTTTTTACTGATTGTAATGGGTGAGCCCTGGCTCATTGTACAGATGATCCTAGGTTTATCTAAATAACTTTGCGTGGTTGACTTGCACAGTTAGCTGCTACCCAGTTGTTCAGGGTCCCCCAGGAAGGTGGGTCCCCCAGTAAGCTTTGTGATTGCTGGCCACGGATGTGCATCTTTGCAAATATTTTGATGAAGTTGCTAAGTCTCTCTGTTCAGGACATACTGAGCTTGTGAAGGCCCCAGCTCTGTGGGGTGCATGTTCTGAGTAAGGCGGAAGGGTGGTCACTCTCCCAAGGGCCTGGTTTCGTTGGCCATGCCCTTGGGTTTTGCTGAGAAGACATCCCCGGTGCTTCTCACAGCTGTTGCTGTTGGGCACCAGCTGCAGGAAGCCTAGCTTGGCTTTACCACATGCTTCTGGTACTGCCTGGGCTCAGGCATGGTGAGCATATGTCTGTTCCACGTGACAGATGATGGCTCTGATAGGAGGGGGTTCCCAAGGGGCTTATGGGTTATCGTCTTAAAAGGGGGTCACCCACGAATTAGAATCTGAGCTCACCTTTGTGTGATGGCAGAGTTTACATGCACCTGCTCCAAGACTGTCAGTGGAAAACTTTAGCTGCAATGAGACTGGGTGCTGCTCAGTCATGGCTCCTGTTCCTGGCCTGCTGGATGTTCCCTCCCGGTGAGTAGGCACTGCCATCTGCAGGGTCCTGGGGGTCAGGAACACAGGTGTGCAGTATGTTTGGGGGTAGGGTTAAGGATGACACAACATTTACACCTGGCAACTCATTTCTTAGTGACATTTTGGTTAATTTTTCATTTTATTGAAGCAACCTTTTTGATATCATCAAAATGCAGAGTATTAATGATAGAAAATTCTAGATATAGAGTTGAGATTAAGTGGGGGTGAGTTTTCTAATGCTGGAACATTTTGAATGAATTTCCCTGAATCTTCTCCATCCATCCCGTTTTTCTTCCTGAAGGCTTGGCTGGGGAGAAGTCCTTGAGTCTACTTGGGGGTGGAAACCATTGTGAGGGCCTCCTGCAGGTGCAGTACAGTGAGTCTCAGGGCCCTGTGTGTGGGGACCACTGGGGTCTGGAGGAGGGTTCTGTGATCTGCGCACAACTGGGCTGTGGTCCCGTGATATCTACCTCCCAATATGTTCTGAGGCCCGAGGAGATGGGGCCGCTCTGGCTCTATGGTACCCAGTGCCAGGGTGAAGAGGCTTCGCTATGGCAGTGCTCCCTGGGGGACTGGAGGGCCATCAGTGGTTGCAACTGCCAGTGTGTGGTGGTTATTATCTGCTCAGGTAAGTTGAATAATGCTTCCTGAACCCCACTTATCCTGGGACCTCCTTAGGGCTGCTTCAGTTCCAGAGATACCAAGGCAAAGTCCTAGGGGAGGAGGGAAAGTCTGACCTACATGTGGGTGCCTTGAGGTTTCTTGAGGTTGGGGGGTCTGCTCCTGCTGCAGGATGAGTTGAGGACTTTAATTTTCCACATGAAGCTTGTTTCTCACTCTCTTAAAAGTCCCTTTTCACATTGGTTCTGTTCTTTTGAGCTCAGCCATTAAGCCTGTGCTTTGCTTTGTTGGCCTCATGGCCAGGCCAACATGCTGACCATGTTGGGGTCTCTAACCCACCGTGACTGCACAGAACTCAGCAGCATCCAGTGAGAGTGACCCAAGAGGGTGCTTGAGGCATGTTGCTCAACCTGGATTCCCTGGAGGCTGCTGTCTGTGCTGTGCATAACCATCCTGAGAGGAGTGGCTTTGATAACCCAGAGCCCCTCCCAAAAAGTAGCACAGGATGGGAAAGCAGACAAGGACCCTTCAGAAATCTTATTAGGCCAAATCCAGTCAGTCCTCAACCCCTGCATATGTACCTTGGGCAGAGGCTGGCAGGACCTCTCTGTCTTCTCTGTCGCCAGGTGGTACCTCAAGACCAATTAGGCTGGCTGCCGGAGGCAGCCCCTGTGCTGGGATCCCTGAGTTGACAAATCCTGACAACTCAACCATGAGGTGTGACCTGCAGAAGGAGGAGGTGAGCGTCTTGTGCAGGCAGCTGGAGTGTGGCTCCGCTTTGCAGTGGTCCAGAGCCCACCCCCAAGGGCGCCCTGGTAGCCCTGAGCAGAGAGTCGTGACCTGTCAGGGAACAGAACCCAGCCTTTTGCATTGCAAGACCAACTTGAATTTTCTAGATCAGTGTGACCTGCCAGCCTACGCTGAGGTGGTGTGCACAGGTAGGTTCACCCCACTCAGAGCACTAGGCTCTTGTTCGTATGTGAACAAAGAAATCAAGATATTTCTTCATAGCACAATGTTAAGGGAAAGTTCTTCTCCTGTACAGTGGCTGACAGGAGGGTGCACTGCCACTGCAGAGTGGTGCAGGAGAGCCTGGGGCTCTCCCCCTGGGATGCTAATGTGGCCCTGGATGCTGTCCTTAGGGTTCCCTGTACCTGTGCCCAGATGGTGAAGGCCTTGGAGGGGCAGTGCTTTCCACTTCTCTCTGGGGGCTTGTGTCTCCTCGGGTCAAAGGGTTTGGGGTAAATCTTCATGGGAGGCACTGGGTGGGGGCAGCACCCAAGGGAGATCCAAGGGCCAGTGGCAGGTCCTTTTCTCAGACCTTAGGACTCCCTGGAGGCTCCTGGGTCTCTAGCACTGGACCAAGTCAGCGGGTCCTGGTCTTCCTGTCTCATTCCTTCCTGTGGGCTGGGTGGCGGGTGGTAGGACCTCTTCATCCCTCTGCCCTGCAGAGAGCCCTGTCCTGCTCTTGGGTGCTCTTGTCCAACTTCTTCCCTCAGGACACGTGGAGGCTCGGCTTGTTGGCAGTGAGGACCTCTGTGCTGGGCGCCTGGAGATTCAGCGGGGCTTGACCTGGGGCACAGTCTGTGACAGAGACCTGGACCTGCCCACCGCCCACGTGGTGTGCCGGGAGCTACATTGTGGAACGGCTGTGTCTGTACTGGGAGGTGCCCACTTCGGCCAGGGCTCAGGGCCCGTGTGGACAGAAGCCTTTCGCTGCGCAGGCAATGAATTGCTGCTGTTCCACTGCCCGGGGGAACCTGGGAGTCAGTGCACACATGACCAGGATGCTGGGCTCAGGTGCTCAGGGGAAAGTGAGTCAGATTACGGGGTCCAGTGGGTCTGGGCTGTGGTGCTGTTCAATGGGGGGAGACTCTGGGATAATTTTGAGTAGTGAGCAGCTAGAGAGTTTAGCCTGGTATTTCTTATATCTTCTGTCTCTTTTTCTTCTCTAGCCTTGTGTGTTTGTTTCTGTCCTCAGTGTTCTCTTTAGATCCCGCTCTGACATCCGGTATGAAGTATTTTTTTTTTCCCAGTGTTGTGAATATTTTCCTGTGTATTCTATATGATAGGTCTTCATTAATATACGGCTAGCAAATATTTTCTCCCATTATGTAGGTGGTTGTTTCAATTTTTGAGAGTGTTCTTTGATGCCTATTAATGTTTTAATTTCAGCTAAGCAGAACATCTGTCTTTTCTTTTGTTTCTTGTTCTCCTGGTGTCACATCTGTAAATGTAATTGCTGTGTCCGAGGGCACGAGGCGTCACCTCTCTGCTTTATGCTAGACTTTTCCCCTTAGCACTTACACATAGGACTTTGCTTCATTTTAAGCTGCTCTTTCTAGATGGTGTATGGAAGGGGCCGGCTTGATTCTTTCACATGTAGTTATTCACTTACTTCAGCACCATTTGTTGAGAGAGTGCTGTTTGGTCAAAGAATGATCATGGTGCTTTTGCACATGCTAACCTAAATGTGTGCATTCATCTGCATATTTTACATTCCATTCCAGTGATTATGTTTATCCTTATGCAGTATTATCCTGTTTCAATTACTAAAGTCTTGTAATAAGTTTCAAACAGAAATGTGAGTTCTCTAACTTTGTTGTTTTTATATGTGCTTAGCTGTTTGGGATCCGTTTATGGCCATATAAATTTTGGGCGGGCCGGCAAGATATCTCAGCAGACTGAAGTGCTTGCTTAGGCAGAGTGCAGCGGCCGGGGCCCAATTCCCAGTGTGCTGGGCCAGCCCCGCCCCTGGGGCTCGCTGAGACAGACTGAGACTGGGTGTGATGGTGCACGTCTGTAGTCCCAGTGCTTGGGAGGCTGAAAACAGAAGAGTCACTACAAGTCCGATCGACATAGTGAGACCCTGTAGACCCTCTACTAAATATAAAAGAAATTGGGATTAACTTTTCCATTTATAAAAAGGATACTGTTTAGGTTTTGATAGGGATTAGTTTGAATCTGCAGACTACATTGGGTGATAGTTACATCTTTAGAAATACATCCTTCAACCCCCAAATGTGATGTCTGTTTCCTTTAATTAGGTCTTGTTAAATTTACTTATTTTTTATTTATTTATTTTTAAATTTATTTTTTAAATGACATACTTTTTAGATACATTTTAATCTACAATACATGTTTTTATGGGATATAGTGTGATACTGCAATACATGTGAATAACATGTATTGATTGAGTCAACGAAACATGTATCTAATACCGTAGACATAGATAACTTATGTATTCCTCAGAGATATTGGCCTGTATTTTTTTCTTTTTGTATTCTTGTTAGTTTTGGTATCAGCAAAATAATGTTGGCATCCCAAAAGGAATGTGAAAGTGTTTCCTCACTTTTAAATTCTTTCAGAAGAATTGGCTTTTGTTCCTTAAATGTACAGAATGTTCAGCAGGAAAGCTGTTCAGTCTTGGACACTTTTTGCTGGGAGACAAAGTTCTGGATTATTCTCTATTAATAAGAAGAGTTTTTGTTACTATTTTGTGCTTCCACATGAATTTTAGATTTTTTTTTTGTTTTTGGTATCTTAACAGATATAATACTGAATCTTTACATTGCTTTTTGAAATATTGTGCTCTTTAATTTTCATGACATAGGTCTTTTTCTTGCTTACCCACATTGATTTCTAGCTTATTTTATTTATTTATTTATTTATTTGTCTTTTTGAGACAGGGTCTCACTGTGCAGTTCAGGCTGGCTTTGAGCTTACTTTTTAGCCCACGCTGGTCTTGAACTTGAAACAGGCAGCCTGCCTCAGCCTCCCGAGTGCACGTGCCACCATGCCTAGATGATTCCTGTTTTTTAAAAATTTTTTTCTTTTTAAAATAATTTTATTGAGAAAGAAGTAGCAATGAGATAGTTTCAAAACAGGTTAGTAGTACAGTTACAATAATTTGTAGTAACTATTCATAGCACAAGATGCAGACAAGATATCTTGTCTAAACACTATTAGTTCACAACTTTCTTCTCATTAAACTGAAAGTATGGCCCGGGGAGATGGCTCAGTGGAATAAGCACTTCCTGGCAAGCACAAGGGCCTGAGTTCAATTCCTAGTTCTGCCAAAAAAAAAAAAATAAACTGAAAGTAGCTGTACATCTATGCTGTTTTGTATATACATATATATATATATATACATATATGTATACATATTGTCATAAGTAATGATAAAATGATTAAAAATGGTTTTGAGTATGTGTATAACATGTACACTTAAGTCTTTATTTGGCCAATCTGATATTTATTCTCCTGCTTAGCCTGATGTACCTGCAAATTTCATCATAATTACATAAACCATTTTTAGGAAAAAGTTGGAATGGTTTCAATGCCCTAATGAAGTGATACATTTTTCTACTATAAAAACACTATAAATAGAATTGTTTTTGTAGTTTTCTTGGTGTAGTCTAGGAAGGCAATTTTTTTTTGTGCATTGTTTTTGTATCCTGCCACTTTGGTGAATTTGTTTATTAGATTTGAGTCTTCTGGTGGAGTTTATAGGGTCTTCTAGGTAAAGGTTTAGATTATCTGCTAATAGGGATAATTTGATTTCCTTCTTTTGTATTTGTATGACTTTTATTTCCCTTGCTTAGTTATCCTGACTAAACTTTCAAATTGTATATTGAGCAGGAGTGGTGAGATCAGGCTGCTAAAGAGTCCCATTATTAGATGAAAATTTTGTAGTTATGTTTGGTTCATTTGATCTATGCATTTTAACTCTGATATTTTGTTACTTTATCAATTGGTTGACCTATTTCATTATAAAAGTGGGGATTTGAAGTCACTCACAATGATTGTGTGGAGATGTATTTGATATTTAAAGTCAGTTAGAGTTTGCTTGTGAAATGGGGTGTGCTGATGTTGGGTACCTATACAGGGTCCACCTAAAACTGTGTGTGCACTTCAAGAAAATCAAAGTAGTATGGTGTTTCTTTCAACAAAGGGTGTTACCCTCACATTGTTGGCTCTTGGAGAAGAAACTGAAAATGCAATCTCAATGACCAAGGTTACTAAGGTCATTGTATTAATAAATATATGGAAGCTAATGGCTGCCACTTTGAGTACCTCTTATAACAAGAAGCCAAAGTTAACTTGTATTGATCTCATGATGCCTCAATAAATTTAATATTAAAATATTTATACATTTTTCTTTTTATACAGTATGTATATACATTTTTTGGTGGACTCTGAATGTTTACAATTGTTATATCTTCTTGGTGAATTTTTTCTTTGACCAGACACATAGTGGTGTTCTTTATCTCTTTTGACTAATTTTAGTTTGAAGCTTGCTTTGTTAGACATACATCTAGGTACTTCTGCTTGATTTCAGGGACTAGCTGCTTTGAGCATCTCTTTTCATCCTTTTAATTTCAGTTTATGCTTGTCTGTGTAGGGGAGGTGTGTTTCTTGAACATATTTCAATACCTATGGGATAGGGATACACATTTTTTTTTTTTTGCTTATAGTATACTTTAATTCCCAATGCACATTCATTCACTCAATGACAGACTAAAATGTACATTCTTTTATGATAAGCCAGAACATCTATTATCCCAATAATACAAAAAGAAAACAGGTACAGAATTAGTATTAAGGGACTTCCTTAATTAAAATTACCAAAAAAAGAAAAAATATATATTCTTTTATTTCCACTCCACTCTTTGGCTGAATTTTATTAATATAATATCTGCCCTTCCTAATTCTTCTCTTATGAAAGGCATCACACCCTAGTCACTCAAACCAAGCCTCCTCCTTCTCTTTCTCCTTGACCTCCCCACCTATACTCAAGAATTATTAACAAGACATCTTTTTATATTTCTCTAGAATTAATCTCTTCTTCAACAGAGTTCTCTCTTGCAATTCCTTTTCTTCATAAGTGTGGCATGTGAGATTTTAACTGTTCTGTTCCAGTTTTTTCTTCTTCAGTCAGTGGTAACGGCTCCACATCTGTTTGCTTTCATAGTTCTTCTATCATGGTCATAGTTTTATTCAAAGTAGTATAAATGCGGCTCTTAATCTCTTTCTGTTCAATAGCAACAGGTTTAAAACGTGCACACAAAGTTTGGTATCGAGACTTTATGGCTGATATTTCCTTTATGAGCGTTACTGGATTTTTCTCTCCTGTTGAATCATGATGATTAGACTTGATTTCATATTCCAGCCATCAGTTCTAGCTTATCGACCTCCGCCTCCATGTTGAATAGTTGACATTCCTCCGGGATACACATTTTTGATGTCATTTTGTCACTTTGTTTTCTCATGATTCTTTTTTTTTTTTTTTTTGAGACAGGGTCTTGCTATGTAGTTCAGGCTGGCCTTTGGCCCATGGTGATCTTCCTGCTTAAGCCTCCTAAATGCTGGGATTGCAGGCGTGCAGCACATCTACTTGTGGTGTGTGTGTGACTGTGTGTGTGTGTGTGTGTGTGTGTGTGTTGGATTTTGCGCATCAGCTGGGAAGGATATTTCTACCTTGAGCAGGGAGGTTTTGTTAGAGGCTCTTCTTGGTGGGCTCCTGGGGCTGTGCGCGTGTCTCAGCACAAGAGCAGCCACTCCACTCTTTCGAAGTACTGAGTTCAATCCTGTCACTCTTTGCTGGGAGAGAATAACCATCATCAGTATAAACATCTAAATAACTATTTATTTACATGTAACATAAATCTTATCTAAAAAGGTCTCAACTATGTTGCTAAGAAAAAATCCTTAATTTTTGTAAGCATTTCAAAATACTCTTTTTAAAATAAATTTTTTGACCAAATTTGTATTTTTATATCAATGTGAACAACTAATTTGAAGGCAACAATAT